CACACACACACACACACACACACACACACACACACACACACACACACACACACACACACGCACAGAGCAGGGTTTTGCTGCTGACTGCATGGTGGGAGCACGGCCCCTGAACGAACAACTGTTGCCGCACAATTTCGAAAATGGTGGCCTCTACTGCTACCTGCCCGAACGGAGTCCCGCCAGAAGCCAAAAACGGGAGGGCCTGCTACGGGTACCTGCTCCCAGGCCAGGTGTTACATGCTGCGCCTGCACACGGGGGCCATTTTCCAGGCCCTGCGTCCCTCAGGCTGAAAGCCTGAAAACCAGGGCCTACAGGCCCCGTGACCTTTCAGCTCGAAAGCCTGAAAAACAGGGGCCTACAGACCCTGTGTCGTTTCAGACTGAAAATGGCAGTAGCCTTTTTAGCCTGAAACGAAGGGCCATTTCCGGTCTGTCATCAGACCAGCCTGCCCTGAAACTCAGGCACCGAACCAGGGTTTTAGGAACAGGCTATTTTTAGCCTGTTCCCACGACAGCTGCAGCGCCAGCCCCTGGCTCAGTTCGGCATTGGCAAGAGCAGCCTCCTGGACTGCCCGCCCTGCAGCTGCAGGCAGTCGGAGGCAGTCAGGAGGCAGGCCGAGATAGTACATAGGGACTTCCCATGCACTTCACGGGTAGGCAGGAGGCAGTCAGTAGTCTTCAGGATTCGGCAGCAGCACTCTGGAGGAGCACTGCAGGAGTAGTAGTAGTGTTAGCATTAGTCTTCAGCGCTGGGCGCCATAGCTAGGATAGCACTAGAGAGAGAGAGATTGGGCGGAGGCCAGGGGTACCTACCTGCAGCGCCGTTGCTCCAGCTTCGTCTTTGAGGTACCTGCAGCACAGCGCCAACTTCAAAGGTTAGTACCTGGCTCGTGAGAGAGAGAGAGTTCTCCTTCTTCCTCTTCTCAGTCCACCATCTCCCTCTCACCCTCTCATCATCTGACCTCACTGCATCAGCAGACGAGAGAGAGAGAGAGCTTGGTGACACTGGATCCAGACTCGACTTTTGGGCTTCAGACATTTCAACGAGGGATTATTTGGGACTTGTGACAAAGACTTGGTGTCAACGACATTCCCATCTCTCCCCCGCTTCTTCGTCTGATCCCCTCCTCTTCGTCTGTGTATGTCTGAACCTGGCGCTTCCTCTCTGTGTATAGCGCCAGGCTCCTTCACACCTTGTGATGAGCATGATGTATGTTTGGTCTACGTTGAAACATTGATTGGGCTAGTCATCAGTATTCTAGCATTCTGCTTCGCTATCTTGTACTACGTGATAAAGGTCAGTCTCGGTCAGGTCAGGTCTTGTATCTAAATCTTCCCTGCGCTATTCAACACCATTTTGTATGTATCGGAATGCACATTGCTAGTTGAGATTCCACTTGCACAGCATTGTCCATTCAGTCCTTTTTATCACATTGCGGATCCTCGGTTATTATGTACATCGCCCATCTGGGCATGTAACACCAGGCCACACCATGGGGAAAAGAGCGGTACCACCACCACCACCTCCCGCTTTTGCTCATTATTGAACCGGTAGGCCGTCAAACGCATAGTTTACTGTTTTTCTTGCAGTTTCGAACTGGTATTGGCCCAAGCTTGCAGTGGACTCTTATTTCTGCGAGTTTTGAACTGTGCAGCAGTCACAGGCGCAATTGTCTCTTTTTCTTTTTTTAACTACCACTACCTTTCCCAAGTTTCCCAGGCAACGTAGAAAATCAGAAATGTAACAGTCCGCAGACTTCAGGAGAACAGTGTTAACGGACCAAAAATGGCTGGCGTTGCAAGCCAAAAGATCAGCCTGAGGATAAACGCCATGGGCAAAGCTTGCCGCACAGGGGGAATCCGCCTCGGCATAACGATGCTCGGAGGTAGTGGTGGCTGATCGAGAGTTGAGAACTGAAAAACAAAGGGAAAGAAAAGACAGCTTTTAGACTTTGAGTGGCAAACTACGAAAATGAGCAGCATGTAATGAACCTCAAAGCTCACCACACGATGGAGTGCTCACACCAATATACATGCCACACAGATTGTCTTTTCACACACTTGCACAAAGAGAAGATGAATAGTAGACCAGAAAAACGCAGCTCAATTATTACAACCAAATTATAGTGAGAGAATCATGAGTTCAACTGTCCAGCGCTCAATACGATTACAAGTCTTCTTCTATCATCAAGAGTCTCAACATCTGCGCTCATTAGCGCTTGTCATCCACACCAAGTTCATCGTTCTTCAGGTAAGTAGCCACCATGTCTCACTCTCTCTCTCTCTCTCTCTCTCTCTCTCTCTCTCTCTTATCCATCACTCACTTGATGATTCTGGTCTTCTCTCTCTACACAATCTTCTTCCTCTCTCTCATGCGCACTCCCTACTGCTAAACAGTGCTAAGTTCTAACACACACATGAGGATCAACTCTGAATACTACTCACTGTTCTACTACTACTAACTACTAACTACTAACTATACTGCGTCCTAGTGCTGGCGCAGCTATGGCTGCCTTCTTCCCTGCCAGCATCTACTTCTTCTCTCTCTTCTCACTCAGCGCTGCTCTCTGGCCTAGCGCAGCTCCCACACTAGCGCACAAGTGCACAAGCACTTCCACACTCTCGTGCAAATGAGCATCTGTTGAAATGGGAGGCTGGCCAGTCTTTTGTAGGGTTGAACTGGTCTTGGTTGGGCCAGCCTCTGGCCAAATTTCCTTGGTACCGCATGCCCACTGCCTGCTGTTGTGAAGTGTGAGTCCCAGTACCTGTCTCGTGGTCTGCTGCTGCTTCAGCCTTTGGGCCTGTCTTTCGGAGTTCTGGCCTGACTTCAGACACGACCTATGGATAGGGACTTGACTGGGCCTGCAACCTTTAGCTATCTATTGAACAGGCATTACCCTTACCCAGCTTCAAATGTGACTATTCACAAAGGACTTGGATGTGACCTTACAAAGTGACTTTTCGCTTAAGTCTGGACGCGACCTCTGCCTCAGGAGACTTGTCTTTTGAAATGCTGATTCGTAACTTCAGGATCTGGCCGACTGGGACCCTTTATGTTGGAGTCTGAATTCGGGGTCTGAATTGTGAAGGCCCTTTCAAGCATCAACATTCTCAAAAAAAAAAAAAGCATACCCTTCTCGGCCTTTTGGCTAATCAGTTTAATATCCGATACGTGGTCCATTGGGCCACATGATTTTTTTTATTTTTTTTTGCTGGGCTAGAAGGGGTCACAGGGGTAGGCTTGGCTACTCGATGCCTCCAGGCGGAGGGGGGACAGAAAAGAACACACATTACCTGCAGTCGATGGAAGAATCCTGCGGTGAGCATTCTTCTCTTTCTGTCCTTACATTCAATGCGGTACCCAAAAAAGTGGCTGTCCTGTCCATGCTCATTTGTCCTCTCCACTTTCCAGCTGATCTTATCCCCATCTTGACGATCGGGAAGGCATGTTGGTATCAGCAAGCCACTCTTCGGATCGTCAAAGACCTTATAAGCAAGCTCCATTCTCAACATGAACTCTACTACATCCCGCACACCAACCTCGCACGCCCTGGGAACAGCTTCTGACAACACGAGTTCTAAGAGGCCTTGACTGGCAATCCCATTGAAGACTTTAGAAGCACGGAAATTCGTTGGAATGAGGTTGCCAACAAACGTGCAGCAAAACCATTGCGGGTTCAAAACCACAGATTTCATTGGCTCAAACCAGATAATCTGTCCAATATCATGGAGACAGCTCGCAATGGCTTGCAAAAGGAGATTTTCATCCAAAGCAGTCTGATGAGATCCTGATTGTACTCCGCTAAGACTTCTCTCCTGATACTGGCTTGCCATTTTCTGTGGCCAGCAAGCTGCACGAAATTTGGACCAAGTCATCAGAGGATTCTTTGAAAGATTGGACTTGATCACTGACGTTTGCACTGTCTCCATGATTTGCAACACATTGGTATTGTGAAGAAGTGCCTTTGCTTCGTGGAACACAAACTTCTTTACTGTTTCAGCGTCCCTCCTCTCTCTTGCATCAATAAGGAATACCTCATTCGCAATGTCAAGTGTCTCGTGGAACTCCTCGGATATCCAGCTGAGCACCTCTTGAGCCCTAGGGTTCAGGTCAGGCAACTTTTGGCTCTGAGTCTGAGTCAAGTGAGGATTGCAGATGGGAATCACAAAAGGCTTTCTCTCGGCCTTGCAGTTTGATGCGATGAATCTCAACCAATACCTCAGTTGCTGCAAGAACTCATCCCACTGTCGCTTTTCAACTTCAGCAACAGAGTTGCTCGGAGTCCCACTTGAGCTACACGCGACTAATTGTTGACATTCGGTCGTCGGATTGAATAGAAGCAAGAAGATGGGTGGCACCACCATGGCCCCACCTAGAGTTGGCATGAAAAGATCATGAATGGTGCGGTACTCAGATTGTCCACCCAGCTCCCAAAACTGGATGTTGATCCCTTTCGAGGCGACATGGACCATCTCAATACCCCTAGTTTGGGGCTTAAAGTTTGCAGGCCGATCACCAGGAGTCATCTGCTTGATCTTGTCTGTGCAGTACTTCCAAGCTCCGCGACAAATGGAGTCCATCAGGGTTGACTTACCCACAAGAGGTTCACCAACCAAAAAACATCTGATGTGGCTGCTGCTGGTGTGCTCCACACCTCCACCAGCCTCCAACAACCGACGTTCTGTCTGGTTACTAGCCAACTTGTGATCAATAATTCTATCAGACTCGTCATCAAAAGTAAATCTCTGAAGTGTCTTATTACGCTCTAAGGTAGAGAGCATCTCTTCCCTCAAATCAGATGGCAGTGTCCATGTTTGTAAGTGTAAGTGGAGCGCTTCTAGGCAAGTGTTATCCTGCAACCCTTTCACAATAGTTACGATGTTATGACTGTAGGTGGAAACATAAATTCTCAGGTCCTTAAGAGTCTTGTTTGTTGCGAGCATGGCTGCAAGCGCATCTGCCCCTTCCTGGCTAAGCATTGTATCGGCGCCCAACGATAGCTCGTCTAGGCAAGCATTATCCCGCAACCCTTTCACAATCGTTGCAATGTCACGATATTCGTCAAGATGAATGTCGAGTTTCTTAAGAGTGTTGTTTGTTGTCAGCATGGCTGAAAGGGCGTCTGCTCCTTCGCGACTGAGCACTGGATGTAAGAGTTTCACCTGCCTGAGCTGAGATCTGCTTCGCACTCCCTGCTCTTGGAGACCATTTTTCATTTCCATGGGTGAGCTGAGACGACCACTTACATCCGATGTGACAGATGGTTCTGCAAGACGAGCACCATCAAATCCTGTGTCCATAGTTGCAAGGCCCCTGGCGAAAGTGAAAAGCCCCCCTTTGCTTACACAACAAAGAGTACAAGACTGTAGACTCTCACTAGCCAGCAGAGCCTGGACCATGTCGACACATACTTCTTCCAAGCCTTCGTCTTTTCCAGAAAAACTGAGGCACAGATCTCTTAGTGAACTGGAACTAGAAATCATGACCTGAATCATTACAACACACTCATAACGTAGTACTATGCCCATCTCCATTTCAAGTCTTTCAACTCCACAGTGAGCCTGATGAAGAAAATCAGAGAGAATTTGCAGAAAATGACCGGGCTGATCCAACTCACCCAGACCATAGATTCGGATGTCTTTGAGGGCTGCAATAGAGCTACCACCCAAGGATAATGCTTTCCGAAGACACCTCAGATAACTATTGATGCACAATATATTCGGACTGCCGGAACGGGGCAGCCAGTCTTTTATAATATGATAGAAATTGAAATTGAAGTATCGAAATGAGCTGATGTGCTCGGCTAATACGCTCAGCATATGCAACCACAACACCGACCTCCAGGCGTCTTCATCGGCCATTTCTTGTCCACAAAGCTCCCGGTCAAAACACTCCTTGAAATTGAACCAAAATTTCCGTTCATTTTTTTTTTCGCTTTCAGAACTGCAGAAATCTGCTACAAGGCCCTCAACGGCCAAACGGGCATGATCAAGTAGCGAATTCATTGAATTGTGATACTCCTCGAGCACATCTGAAGTTATTGCCTCGTCGGTCTCGACATGCTGTTCAAGTCGCTGAAGTCGGCACTTCATCTCAGCATGAATGAGGTCCAACTGTGCGTTAGCAAGGCCGGCTTTGCAGGCAAAGAACCCAGTGCCAGCCAGGCTGACACCTGCCGTGAAAGGGGCAGCTCCAATTCCAGCACCCGCTGCGAAACTGTACTTCTCAAGTTTCCGACTCTTCTTAGCTTCTGCAGCTTTCAGAGTTTTGTCATCCATTTCCTCGAGTGTCTTTTTATATCCATCTACATCCAACCCGTAACGACTCATGTTTGAAAGACTTCCACGGAGCGTGTATGCTCCTCAATTATCCAAATGACCCCAGCAATATGACAGTGATACCAGCCCAATCACAGAAAACTTCAGGACCCAAGGGTCACTCAGCTCTGTGAGGCTTGGAAGGATCTTCTGGCCACCGACTCAGCATCTGGCCAAGGACCTGCAACAGTCAAACATTCATTAACGGATAGCAGGCAAGAGAGAGAGAGAGAGAGAGAGAGAGAGAGAGAGAGAGAGAGAGAGAGAGAGAGAGAGAGAGAGAGAGAGAGAGAGAGAGAGAGAGAG